CCCGCCTTCCCGCGCCGCGCCGGGCCCGGGTGCGGGAGCGCGGCAGCAAGAGGAGGCGGCGGCGCGGCGTGGTCTCCGCGGCGGCTCTGTGGCGCAATGGATAGCGCATTGGACTTCTAGCGCGGCGGCAGCGGGCGGCATTCAAAGGTTGTGGGTTCGAGTCCCACCAGAGTCGCGTTTTGGGCCCCGCCGCGCTGCCCTTTTGCGGGGAGCCGGGGCTCGGGGCCGAGGACGTGGGATGTACGCGCGCGCGGACGCATCCGCATTCATGTCCGCCAAGCTCTTCCCTCCGTTTCAGTTTGTTCGCAGGACCCCTCCGAGCTCGGGCCCTGCGGACACCCCGGCAGGGGTCAGCCCGCCGGCGCTGGGGGAGCTGCCGGTCCTGACCCTACACCTGAGCGCCTGCGAGTGGCCCTCAGTCAGGGCCTGCGTGAGATATACGCCGCCTACATGGGTGTGGGTAGCAGGTGGGGGGCAGCCTGCTTGGACCCCCCCCCATGCCCCTTTCCTGAAGGAGGCCGGGGTCTGACAAAGCTCTTCTGGGCTGGGTTCGCTGGCTCTGGTTGTCACCGGACCTGGCCTGGCAACAAGGTGCCAAGGCTGCAGCTGGCCTGCACTAAAGGGCACGTTTCTGGCCTCCAGCTCTGAGACAAGAAACCCATTTTGGGTTCGGCGCGATAAAACCAGCGGGAGCGCCCAGCCGAGCCCCTAGCAGAGACACGCTCTTTCCAGTCTATTTCTGAGCGTGCCAGGAAAGCGGCCGCTTCCAGCACATGTCCAAGCCAGCATGGCACAACAGAGCCGGGTGCGTGACCTTACCCCGAGCCCAGCCACGGTTCTGGGAGCGGAGACTCAGACAGCGCGTGAAGCCAGACTGAACCTACCCCGACTAGGAATCTGCCTGTCGCGTGGCGGTGCGAACCTGGGAACCTTTGTGACGATGTCTCTGCTCCCCCCGGGGGCACGGGGAAGTGTCACTCACCCAGCTAATCTCTGCTCCATGCTTCAAAGCTGCATAAAAGAGGTCAGGGCCTTTCGCAGCTAAGCCCCAATCCAAACTGACAGCAGCCCAGGTCAGGGCCCTCTGTCACCTGGACTGGACACCAGCATCCTGCCAGCATTGAAGCACAGGCTTTCCCTTAAGACTGCAGGTGGCTCTGCTGACTTCAGCGGGGTTGTTCTGGGATGGGACTTCCCCCATGGCTCAGGCTGAGCACATGCACATGCTTCTGCCAGACCGGTGCCTCCTACCAGCCTCAGCCTAGCAGCTTTGACCAAGTGTTCGCTCACTCAGAGCGCACGTGGGAGCAGGGGGAGGCAGCCGCCTTCTCCTCCAGGGCAGTTTTCTTTGCCTTTACCCATGCACCAGGGTCTCCAAGGGTCTGTGTCAACTTCCTCCTCCAGCTCGTTCACTGTTTACTATTATTTAGTGTCTAGAAGCCATCACGCTAGGCACTGGACAGCCTAGAATAAAACTCTGCTACTGTGGAAATGCTACTGCGCCCCAGGCGGAAAGCAGCACTGGACAAGGTCTGCCACTCTAGTTGGCACTGGTGAGGCCTCACCGGGAGTACTGTGTTTAGTTTTGGACCCCACACTTCAAAGATGTGGATGGTTTGGAAAGAGTCCAGTGCAGGGCAACAAAAAATAATCACAGGCCTGGGAGACAACACTGACGAAGAAAGGCTGAAAGAACTAGGGTTATTTAGCTTGGAGAAGACTATGGGGGAATTTGATAACAGTATTCAAATACCTGCAGGTGATTATAGAGGGAATGGAAATGGACTTTTCTTCTGTGGCCATAGAGACTGGACTAGGAGCAATGGCCTCAAGCTGCAGCAGTGGAAATTGGAGATTGGGAGGAACTTTCTGTCTACACGGGTGGTCAGGCACTGGAACAGGCTACCTAGAGAGCTGTGGAACCACCATCCTTGGAAGTTTTCAAGAGCAGGTTGGATAGACACTTGGCTGGGATGGTTTAGTCAGGGATGATCCTGCCTTGAGCAGGGGGCTGGACTAGACGACCGTGTGAGGTCCCTTCCAGCCCTGCTCTCTTACGATTCTGTGACTCCGTTTAAACCAACCCAAAGCCTCATGGGTTCAGCTGGAAAACCAAATTCCTGCTTCACAACTGCAGC